CTCTCTCTCTCTCTCTCTCTCGTACTCGCGGCGTCCTCGTTCGTTCCTCGTTTGTTTACAACGGCCGGCCTTTGGCGATAGCCACTACTCGCCCGCATTAGCGGAAACACGCGATTTCGATGTGAACTTGGTACAAAGGCACTCGGTATTGTTTTTTTAGAAATTTGCCTAATGATATTGCCTGGTGATACTGGGTCTAATCTATTTTTGTAGCGCGAAACGGAAAAGACGCATCGTAAATTACACTCGAATTAATGGATATATTTAGTGAGAATTTTTTCGCACTATCAAATTTAATTGATCATTCCTCTTTGTTCTGTATTAATTAATATAATATAATCGTATCAATGCTGGGAATTTCTGGGCTCGAGAAATCGCATGTGTTTAAGCAAGGAATTTGTATATTGGCGCTCTGTTTTGTCAGAGAGATTGTAAAATTTTTAAAAATGTTAAATCAATGCAACATCATTGAATTCCAGGAGATTTTAATAATAAATTTATAATTGATCTATAAAAAAGCATAATTTTAACATAAATCACCGTGTGCACGTGTGCACAATAAGTAGATACATTAAGCAATCATCCGATAATTGTAAATATTAATGGTAATTAAAATCATTAAACATCAAGATTCATAAAAGATCATAAATGCCAATTTCATCGACATTGATAATGTTCGTTTGCACGAACGTGCAACACAGACTAGCTTCTAGCGTCAAGCAAGCGCGTTTTGTTAATTGTACCAATAGATAAAAACCGTGAAGATAACATGGTTAATTACCGCGGTCACAAGCGCGTATCACAGGTACATGTTCCACTTCTTGACAATATCGCGGTGGAAATATTATTTACACTTGCACTGCGCGACAACAAAATTAATTTTAATACACGTATATTAATACGCGCGTCGACGCTTTAATATACAACGCAAAGATAAAATATTGGAAATTAAACAAGCTTAATGATATGCGTAAAATTCGTTCAATCTATCAATACAAAGTGAGCTAAGATTGAAATTACTTGATTAAGTCAAATTCCAATTCGCAATTTCAATTTCCAATGCACAGTCTAATATGGACTTGAGGAAACTCGTGGAAGATGTGGCAATTATTCGAACGTGGCATTGAGAAAGGATTCTACCGCGACGATCACCGGTAATTCGCAAAAATGATAGATCGGCTAATAAATTGTTGGCACTTAAATGCTGAAAACAATAAA